CGAAAACACGTTTTTATGAATTTTGCCCAAAATGTAAAGATCGCATATTTGCTTGAAATTCCACCATGAGTGCTTGTATGACACCTCATCAAATCCTTTCACATTCTTAATGGATCTTATTGTGTTAGATTTGGTGATTTGAGCTCTAGCCACGAAGCTTTGATATTCAATTGCTGAAGCACACGCAAGTACCATATTCAATAAAGTGGAGTTATTGAGCGAAGCGAACATAATATCCGCATTGCGAGTGTCATACAAGCACTCACGGAATTTCGACGAAATCTGCGATTTTTACATTTTTGAGCAAAATTCATGAGAACGTGTTTTCGGAGGCTCGTAACTCAGCGAATTTTATAAACTGGAGCCTGAGTCATGCGCCATTCGATAGCACATCTCCTTGTAACTTTGAATAGTAAAGCAAGCAGGCAGGTTCTTTGACAGACACGTGAGAGGTGGGGGCGAAGTTACGAGCTTTCGTGATGCAGTTACAGTCACCTCACCGTATCTCTCCAAGAAGACCGTGTAATCCTCAAAGACCACGATTTTCGTAAAGAGCTTGTTTGAAAACCTCTGTAAGCGAAGTTTTCTTTTAATTCGAGATCATCGACATTTTGACCAAAATCCATCGGCCAGCTAGCTTCAGAGCGTAAAACGAGAAAAAATGGAATTACTCGAACATATTGGAAAACTTGCTTATAAGGGTTATCCGACCTGCTGATTACGAAAATCACATCTGCCAAGCAAAAGAGCTTCATATTTTAGAGTTACGTTAAGAAAAATTTAGAACGACATGGTTTTTCCAGAATTCACCAGCCCTTGTAACTCCTATGGAAAGATGCCTGTGACTACTTTCAAGCGCTACGTAATCTACAGAAAAAGTACTATCGAAAGGTCCTTGCTGGAGTCTACTAGGGGCAATGCGCGCTGCTTTACACCTTCACGGAAAGACGTCTACAGAAAGATTTCAGAATATTGAAATCGGAATATCAAGGATATGCTGTATATCGAAAGACTTGCCTTGATGAACTGAGCACAAAGCTTTCTTCGGATTCAGAATATGTTCATTCCGAAGGAAGTTGCGGCGAGTAGAATTTAGAAACGTGTGATTTTTCCAAAACTCACCAACGCTTCTATCTCTTTTGGGAGACAGTCTGCAGCTAATCTTGAACGCACGATAACCTACAAAGACAGTACTATCGAAAAGTGCTTATTGGAATCTTTTATGTTACACAGACGCTGCGTTACATCCTTGCGAAAAGACCTCCACAGAAAAAATTCGAAAAAACTGGAAATGGAATATCGAGAGCATACTGTATATCAAAATAATATAATATATAATAAGCGGCTTAATCTGAAGTTGTGTGGAGTTTGTCCGTTACGAAATTACAGTGAGGAATGATTTACGATACTAAACATCATGTGAGGTCAAGATAGCGAGTATGGTTTATTTTTAACTACGGCTCACTTTGCAATAAACCGAACAATGATTTGAGAGAAGCTCTCAGAAAGTGAGTTTACCACGGTTCACGATGCCAGTGGGAACCTCTGCGAAGCAGAGGTGAAGCACTGGTAATATAATAAGCGGCTTAATCTGAAGTTGTGTGGAGTTTGTCCGTTACGAAATTACAGTGAGGAATGATTTACGATACTAAACATCATGTGAGGTTAAGATAGCGAGTATGGTTCATTTTTAACTACAGCTCACGTTGCAATAAACCGAACAATGATTTGAGAGACAAGCTCTCAGAAAGTGAGTTTACCACGGTTCACGATGCCAGTGCGAACCTCTGCGAAGCAGAGTTGAAGCACTGGTATCAAAATAATTGCCTCGACGATCTGAACACAATGCTGCTTTTGGATTCGGAATATATTCATTCCGAAGTAAGTTATGGCGTTGCGTACTCTGCGTGATTCGCTTGGGTTTCGCGGGTCCCGAAAGTCGCGAACTTCCCAGATTATCGCGCACTTTGGCGGAATCCCGGAACCGCGAAGTTCACGGAATTTTTGACATTCTGTGCGCGGTATTGTGATCTTGAGCAGATCTTAGAACAAATTCGACCAGAGTGGCTCTTTACCATACTCCTATAGTATACTGTCTATGTGTCATCAGCGACAGATCAATGGAAATGCTGTTATCAGCACACTGAATTCAAACAAAATAATAATCGATAATTCTGAAAATAATATTGTATTCGTCCCCATGCTCGATTACCCCCCTGTGCAAACGCCCAGCCCCGTAGGTGAACTCTGCAAATCGATAAAATCGATAAAAGTAATCGATAATCTTGAAAACTAATATTGCATTCGGAATCCCGAAGCATGAAATGCTCGATTACCCCCTATGCAAACTCCCAGCCCCGTAGATGAACTCTGCAAAAAAATCGATAAAAATTGATCGACCACGAAAAGTAGCCTATGACACCCGCCGGGGCCCGAAGTGTTTGTGTGCCAAGTTTGGTCCGGATCGGTTCAGAAATGGAATTTTCTATTCGGAGCATACTAACAGACAAACAGACAAACAGACGTTCAGCTTCATATATGAGATGATGCGTCTCGCCGAGCTGAATCGAACGGTGTCCTCGGATTCAGAATTCGTCCATTCTGAAGCGAGATATGGCTAGATTGACGATCATTCCGGCGCACTGCGGCGGAGTGTGGCGCACTCTGCCGCACTCCGACGCACTCTGCCACACTCCGACGCACTGTGGCGAATTATGGCGGAGTTCGCCGCAGTCCGGCGACTTTTTTGACGAATTATGAGCGGTATTATATGAGGCACTTTATGTACTTCATATATCAGCTGAGTTGGTGTCCTCACTTTCTGCTCTGCAAATGAATGCTAAAAAAAACTCGAACGGAATCTCGACGATTTATGTTTGTTAATGAAGACTTGCTCTGTAACATAGGGGTAGATGAACAGCAGTGATTAGGTCTTCGTTTGGTAGAAATCTGCTTTAAAAAGAATTCGACCGTTTATGTCGAATCCCCTTTTCCTGAGCTTTCGAATGGTGTATAGATTGCTGGGCAAAAAACTTTCAGTTTCTAAAAATGGGGTGGAGATATTTACTATTAGCTTGCTCCACCCAGCTCCCCCAATGTATTGGCTTTTATCGGTCATCGGAGCAAGTGCTATCTAGAGCCAGAAAGCAAAAAAATAACATGCTTTATACATTTTGAAAGCTGAGATCATGGAGAATCGATGTGGACGTCTCTTTTTTTCGTAACTTCTCGAATCCAGATACGAGCAATTTTATACGCCTACTCACCAGCTAATTTTGTGTAATTATTTTGTGCTTCATTTTTAAAAGAAAAAACGGCGATAGAAAAAAGAGACGGTCTACGTTTACTGGCAAGGTCTTGCTCTGTGGTACTGTTAGGCAGTCAGGCACCTTCATTCATTGTTCACGCAAAAATTTCTTGACAAAAACACACATGTTTAGTCAAAATGCCATTTGTCTCTAGATAGAGGGAGCTAAAAGGAGACGGTCTATGTCGAATCCCTTTTTCGGGGCTTTCTAATGGTATATAGGTTTTCGAGTGAAAAAACTTGTGGCTTCTCAAAAATGAGGTGGAGATATTCAATACTAACTTGCTCCACCACGCTCCGGCTTTCTATGGGTCACCGGAGCAAACCTTTTTTGGACTGGGAAAGCTTTGTGCACGAACACTTCATAAACCATTCGATAGCTAAGAACACGAGGAATCGACCTAGACCTTTTCTTTTTTCCTAGCTTTTCTGTGAAGCGAGATACGAGCAGTGTTATCTAGCTACAATATTAGCCAATTCTGGGTAATTATTATTTCAAATCAAGAAGGTCTTTCTCGAAATTTCATATATTATTCGAAAGCTTGAGAAACGGGCAATCTAACTGCTTTTTATTTTATTTCCCTCTCTAGTGAAAGGAGATATGGTACTATTAGGTTGGCTAAAAAGTAAGTTCGTTTTGGCATACAAATTGTCATAAAAAATTTTCTTGCTGTTTTCAATCTATGATTATTTGTGGAAAAGTAATTCAAAGCTTCCTCTATCACATATCAAATAGTCAGGATTTTCTATCGTGAGTAAAGACAGTTATGCCTCAACATGGCAAAATTCCCAAAAGCTCGATTCTTTGAAATCTTGAGCTTCGTTTTCATGCTGTAATGGATGTAAAGAACAGCAGTTTGGTGTTTGAATACGGAGGAGTTATCCATATTTAGTGAATAACAAAAAGAACTGTGATCTGCCGTTTTGAAAATGTTTTACTAAGAAAACATTTCCTCATATTTGCGCATTATGGGAAAAATGCGATTTTTCACTTCTTTACGGATTTTTTTCCTGGGAATATAAGTTTTACTCAAACGGACTACATGCTCCAATACCCAGTGAAGTGCTTTTTTCAGAGATACCAAGCATTGGACAAAAAATTGTCTACAGCATTTGTAAGAGCTGAAAAAGCGACCGATCTTATTTATTAGCCAACCTAATATTATTGTCAGCAAAGAAGCACATCCATCACTAACTAGTCCAAATTTTCTACTCTTGCTTAACACTTTCTTGAGACAATGTGTATTCATTGATACAGTGTTAATTATTCAAAGAATCAGATATGTTTTAATTTTTTATGTTTCGTTACCAGTGCCACTTTGAGTGCGCAGAAAGTCTGAGCATGCGTTTTTTCAACAAAACGTGTTGATTCAATAATCTTTTGCAGCCTTGATGTCTGAGAAGAGCAGCTGGCGTTTCCTTTTTAAACAAAAAGTGTCATTGTAACAGCTGTTTGATTCTGCCGTTATGCCTTGATTCTGGTCTCAACCTTAGGTGAAAGGGATCGGCCAGATGCCGGCCCTAAAGTGAAGGGGAACAGAGAAATTTCTCCATCTATTGCATCTATGGTTTTGACCATTCATTGCTCATTTCGTGGAAGGTGCCTTTGAACATATCAGAATAATAATAAAAAATTTGCACTTTTTGGTAGAATTTCGTAACCTTCCTCATATAAATAATCCTCTTTAGGAAGATATTGCTGAATTATTCGCTGCTTATAAACTTGTATGCAACGAGATTCCGAAGGACGATTTTGATGCAAATGACCGCGTTCTCATGGTTGCAGTGTTGAGCGAGCGTGGTAATGCAATGCGCACTTCCATTACTGCTGCAATGAATTCACGTGATGAAGATGGAAACAAGGACTACAATGAGCCTGTTTCCGTTTGATTATGAATGCAAAATGTGTTTGCCATGATATATTTGCATATTCGCTTTGTTGAGTGTCTTCAATTATAGGTGTACACACTGAACGCCTATTACCCTATTTTCAGGTGTATAAGCCGCACCCTGCTTGCTCTAAAGGCAAGCACGCCAAAAGATACCCTGTACCAGGGAGCGCGTTAAATGAGAGCAATGCGCGAGAAAGCGACCGCTCCGCGAGGCACAGGCGCAGCGGCGCGCGGTCTGTTAGCGATTAGGGCAAAGAGGGTGCGGCATATACACCTGAAAATAGGGTCATTTAATGGGTTTGCTTTTCTGTATGAGTTATTGTTTGCACGATGAATAAAGTGCGTTGCAACTCCCTTGCCAGCATAGAACATTCAGATTCAAAATAATATGTGTTGACTGATTGCTTCAAAGACTTTTCTTTCAGTCTCTAACAGAGATGGAATAACCGCAGATCTATTGCATCCATACCCGCTCTGACAAGACCTTCCAGTTGACTACTTCCTAAACTAAGTGTAGATAAGCTTGAGCTTTTTTCCTATGCAAGAAGAAAGAAGAAGAACTCTGAAATAGAAAAGGCTTAAAAGAGTTAAGAGATTCAACGGTAATAGCTACGAATGATAAAGACAGCATCGTTTAGCAAGTTATTCTGCTTCAAGAGTTTTACATGTACCTATTTGTTCACGCCCAAATTTCAACGCGTTTTTTGGCACCGCAAACACACCATATTGAGCGTAAAATCTTGTGTAAATTTGCCACGCTTTTTGCTTGGTTTCATCATTGCCATACCTTCGATAGTCTAGAAGCAGGGCGTAAAGTGAGGGTTGTTCGAATATCTGCCTCTCATAAAAAGTGAAGATTGTTCATAGGTCAGAGTAGAACAAAAAACAGATATCAAAAGCAAAAATTACTGAAAACCGAATAAAACACTGCCATGAGTTTGAAATCTTTTATTTGGCGCATTTGGAAGTGCAGGTTTACGCTCCAGGACCAGCAGGTAACAATACGGGGGTAAACAAGAAAAGCTCATTTCTTCTTTAGGGTTGTTTCGAAAATAACCCTTTTGTGGAAATGGTGAGGCAGATTATCAAAAGAATATAAAGGAGAAGGGAATTAATTATAAGTTTCTTTTCGCAAAGTTTCTCTTTTATTAAGTCGAAATGCAAAGCCAAAGCTAGTTTTGATGCCATTGAATTTTCATCCCGCATTGATGTTCCCGTTTCCGGGACGTTGTCTGGATTGTTGCGCTCATTATTCTGAGCAATAATCGCCCCAGCTGGAAAAATTGCTGCGAAAGCACTGAAAGAGAACAAGTTAACGAAAAAACGCACTTTACTGTTTTTCACGGAAAAGTTCAACATATAATCTTTTTCAACCCGGAGTAGCGAAGCTTCCCAAGTGGAGGCGCGTACGCACCGCCGCTGGCTCAGCGAGATAGGTTACAATGAAGGACGCGGACTGCAAAGAGGCGCGAATCGTTGCGAGGCAGACTCACGCCAGTCCAATTTCCGCCTAAACTGACTTTAAATTTATACTATTACGAGAGAAGTAAGCTCTAAGAGGTTGTCTACATTTTGAACGGAATGATCTCGAGTGCACGAAGAAATAGCGTAAAAGGAGATGAACTAGAGAAAAAACGAGAGATTTTCGAAAACAAGGGTTTTCCAAATTTGCCAAATTCAAAGCAAAAAAGTGGTTTTAGGATGTTGTCAGCTTGAAAGTAGAGAACGAGCGATTCAATATTATACATTGCTCAAATTGGTTCCAGAACAGCAAGAAAAGGGCATCAGAGCCAAGAGCCTCGTGCCTAGCGTTTGGGGTAAAATCGACGAGGCATTTGGCTCTGGTCGTAGATCTCCGCTGTTTCAACGAAACCCTGCAACAAAATATCATTGTGATAGTCGTGACACGGCTAAAGGCAATGACAACGTCCCAAGTGTTAGAAACCACTCACTGACCCGATAAACCAGCATTTTCGTGCGCGACTTTCTGCGCACGATTTAAGCACCGTTCCTTGTTTTTATTAACCTCAGCAGCTTCCCTGAACTTCTGACCAGAGGTGGATAGTGGGAGCCGATTCTCCCCCTACCTTCACTTTTGAGCTGGTACAGGGTGACCACCTTCACTTTTGGAATAAAAATTTTTTCCCTGGACGATAAAGAAGGAAAATAAGTAAAACAAAGGCAAAAAAGATTATTGAAAGCATATATTTATGTATACGGCGGCATATATATTTAAAATAAATGTTCAGTAAATGGTGTATTTGGAAGTAAAATTTAGCGAGACTGTGCGGATTTTATTAAGTGAATTTTGTTATAACGTACAGCGAAGAAAGTAGATCGATCCAGGCAGTAACGGCCGAGAACCAGAATTTTGAATAATCAAATAAAATTTACGCCATTTTTGCGTGTTTTTTGACAGTTGACAGTTAAACTCATATAAATCTTGAATGTGAAAGTGTGTGATGTTGCGACTTTATAGGTTCTACAGAGTACGGTTTGCCTTATCAAGATATATCTTAGCCGTTCCGATCCATTGAAACACCTCCGAGATCCAGAGTCTTGGAAAGCAGGTAAAAAGCACTTTTTGAACTTCAACAGCTCATAATTTCTTCAGAACTGCATGAATCATGTTGCGACTTCGTAGGTTAGATCCTACTCATCAAAAGCTTTCAGATAATATATAATACTAGTTGACTTACCCGGCTCCGCCCGGCCCTGTCATTATTATATTCGTAATCAGCATGCTTGATTACCCCCCTGTGCCAGCTCCCAGCCCCGTAGCACAAATTTTGCAAAAAGTCGATAAAATCGATATCGATCGACGACGAAAAGTAGCCTATGACACCCGCCGGGGCCCGAAGTGTATGTGTGCCAAGTTTGGTCCGAATCGGTTCAGAAATGGAATTTTCTATTTGGAACATACGTACACACATACTGACAGACAGACATACAGACAAACAGACATTCAGCTTTACATATAAGATGTGGGGGTTTAGGGCCTCCTACGAATTATGCCCTGGAGGGAGCCTTTTTATACCAAAGTCTCCCCCTAGCCCACTTTAATGTATTGGAGGGGAGACTTTGTGATGAAAAGCCCCCCCCCCCCGGGCATAATTCGTAGGAGGCCCTAAACCCCCACATATTATATATCATCTGAAAGCTCTTCATGAGTAGAATCTAACCTATAAAGTCGCAATGGTGCAACAGTGCGAATGCAGGCCTTCGAGTTGTATCGATTAGGAAATCCTAACCCTTCCCGCCCCAGCTGGTGAAGTGTGTTTTTCCTTCTCGGTACTACTGGAAGCTTGCACTGTCTAATGCTCGGCTGCTAGAAATAGTAGCTACTCTGAAAATTACCTTACACGGAGCATGACAACAAAGGAGAGGGCTCGAGACTATGCTCTCAGCAATAAGCCCGAGAGCGTAATAAGGGCATGGCCACCCGTGAGTGGATGGTACATCGCAATGAGTTGGTTCACGTATCCAAGCTTCCTCGTAGAAGCTCGGAAAACTGAAATGGCATGGTGTGACTGACTCTCTGCGGATATCACTTATGAGCTCCCGTAGTCTTGTAGACAAATTGAACTTTTGCACGCCTTCGTTTATGAACATAAACCAGATCTGATTTTTGTTACTGAATCATGGCTCAATGCTAGAATACTTGACTCTGAAATTATGGCTGGTATGCCTTATGTTTTGCATAGAAGTAATTCAATCGCAGAAATGGAGGCGTCTGTTGCCTTGTAAAAGGAAAATGATATCAAGATGCACCAACATTGAGTTGAATTTGCTGTCAGATGTGCTGATTGTTACTATTATGAACCAGCAGTCCTTACGTTTACGATTTACTGCGTATACCGCCCACCTTCCTCTAGTAGAGGTGATGATGATAAGTTGATGGATGTGATAAGCTCCTATGCTTACGCTTCCGATCATGATGAAACTATTATTCTCGGTGATTTCAATCTACAAATAGATTGGGCGACAATGAAAACTGCCAGTAGTACTTCTTCGTCCTTTTTGAACTACTTTCAAATCAATGGCTTTGAGCAACTCGTTTCTTATCCCACGTACGGTGACTAGGCGTGGATCCGTGGGTTTGCCATCTCTTCCATTACCAGATTTTTAAGAGTAGATTACATGGCACTGAACGAATTTCTATCAAATATTGATTGGCTTGCACAGTTCAATCAATATAAGACATCTTCGGAAGTTTACCGTAGATTTTGCAAGATAATCTATTCCGCCCCTGGCATATTTGTTACGATGAGATATTCACATGAAACGGTTATGAATTTACCGTCAATATTTGCATTGAATATGCAAAAATGTTGCCTTTTTAATAGATTGCATCATCCATTGCACCATCCTTTGTACAAAAAAGTGTGCCAAGATATTGAATTTCATATGGAAAAATTTCTTGCGAATCGTGAGCGACGTCTCGCAACAAAAGTATCGGCTCGAAAACTGTATCGGTATATCAATTCCAAAATGAAAGCCAGTGCCACACTTCCTACTCTTGAAGATCTGTCGGGAATTTCTCATTTTACTGATGCTGATAAAGCCAGAATCCTAGGCACTTACTTTGCAAGTGTCTTTATTAATGATGATGATAATCATGAATTCCCTGCACCTGGCAATACTGCAATGCCAAAGAGCCATTGTAGTTGTGTATATTTTGAGCCATCTGAAGTCTTCAAGTTTCTGAAGAAGCTAAAGTCGTCCACCACAGAAACTTATGATGGCATCCCTCCCATTGTTTATAAAAGATGTGCAGCTTCTCTAGCGATCCCGTTGGCACACATTTTCAACATCTCTATGCTATTAGGTGAGGTGCCGGTTATGAAAACATGCCCTGATGACTGCTATCCCAAAGATCCAAGGAGCTAAGTTGATTAGTTATTTTCGACCAATTAGCTTTCTACCAGCGTCATCTAAAGTCATGGAAAGATTTATGAGAGATAGACTGTTGTCATGGCTTAACAAAATGCATTTAATCCCAGCTGAGCAGCATGGCTTCATTAGTGGTGCCTCTACTACGACTAACCTTGTTGATAGTACCTACGATTGGATGCTAGCTTTGAACCATCGGAAGTCTGTAGATGTGCTTT